CCGCAGGGTCCGAATAGGCAAATTTTAAGCAGTTTTCTCCTCAGACAAATAATAAAGATATTGTGTAGTAAAAATGTACAGCTATCAAATCTAATCATCTCTGAGCATGCCTCACCTGCCCTGTCACTCTTAGTGTTGTTAAGTGTCATCAAATAGACTCCAGCTCACATTGACCCTATATAGGGTTTCTGAGGAGTAGTTAGCAGTCCAGTGATTATCCTCGAGTGCTACATCAGAACTCCTGCCCTGTCTTTAGTGTTATTTCTTATTCTCACTAGCAAGTGATAAGCTAGACAAAGAACAAAGGCATCAAAACAGCAGTCACATTTAAGTTCAACTGCTATTGTATTGCCTGTGGAGCTACTTTGTGATCCAACGTATAGATGGCTTTATTTCTCCAGGTAAAATTAACTATGTTATAATACATCATTTTTTTTTCATCTACCTAATTCCAGTTACTGAAATCTTGTGCTGTAGGAAAAGTGTATACATAAGAGAAGTAGTCATAATTCATAAGAGGAGAAAAAGAAAGGAAAGGGAAAAGAATGGGAAAAACGGGGATGGGAAAGGTAAAAGAAGAGTTAAATTTTTGTTTTTGTTTTGTTTTCATGATTTCTTAATGGCTAGAAACTCAGAACATCAGAGGTAAACACATAATAGAGTCTGAAGATTTTTTTTTTCCCCTCTGCCATAATATTGGAGCTCTGGTAGCATAGTGCCTTTCAGGTCAGGCTGCTCACCACCATGTCAGTAGTTCGAAGCTACTAACTGCTCCACAGGAGAAAGATGAGCCACTGTGCTCTCATAAAGATTTACAGTTTCGGAAACCCTATACAGGGTCACTGTGAGCTACAACTGACTCCAAGGCACATATCCACCACCATACTAAGTTAACATTTTGGCACTATGAGCCAGACACTTTTCTAAGCATTTTACATAGATTAATCTCATTTAGTACTCACAGTAACCTTGTAAAATAGTTACTATTGTGATAACATGTTATAGATGAGCAAACTATGAAGACATTAAGGAATCTACCCAATATCTTATAGCAGATAAGTAGCAACAGCAGCATGCTGCAACTCAAGCCAACTGGCCCCAGAATCCATGTGGCCTTTTTTAGATATGCCAAAACCAAGATTCATTATTTGGAGTGCTATTTTTGCTTTTATATCATCACTTCGTGTTTCCTCTTTTCTAATCACATGTTAAGCCTTTGATGGTTAAAAACTGGTATTTCTTCATTATCAACTACCCACAGCATAAATTACTGGAGTATAGCATCAGTCAACTACGTGGTTACATACTGTTTAGGCAGTAGGGCTGATGGAATATCTAGGAAGGGCAAATCCAATGAAAGATACATTATGTCAGAGTCAGAATTTCAGTTCCCCACAAAGACGTAAGGAGTCCTAGTGCGGTGCGGTAGGTTAAGCACTGGGACTGCTAAAAGCAAGATCAGAAGTTCACACCCACCAGCAGCTCTTTGGAAACCCTATACAGGGTCACTATGAGTCAGAACCAATTCAACAACAGTTAACAACAACAACAAGAAAGATGGAAAAGAGAAGAACTAATTTTGTTGGAGAGATTTTTTTTTTCTTTTCTTTTCCTCACTTCCATGAGTGTGATTATTATAGAAAAATGGTCCTAAGCTAATTAAATTTAACAGCACTCTTGCGACTATTTTCCTTTCAATTGCTTTTTACTGTTGTTGTAATTATTCAGTGAGAAGGAGATGGAACCCAGAGGTGGTCACAAAAGGAATGGCTCAAGCAGATGAAAACATTTCCTTAAAAGAAGATTCTCAGTTAGAAACGCAACATAAAAACAGGGAAAGAGAAATGAGAGAAAAACAACACAGTGTGAAAGTAGAAGTTTAGAAGAGATTATAAATCCTATGATAAGATGAGAAAATCAGGGAACCAAGGTGGAGAATTTCTATGCATATCAGGACTCTACCAATCTGGAGTCTTAAAAAAAAAAAAAAAATGCTGTGTTTCTTTAAGACTGAAAATGAATAAGAGTTTTGAGGCTGACACATTACAATCACTGAACTTTAATTTAAAAATCTCTAAAGGATTCTGCATTAGTCCAAAGTTTTTAATGTTATTTTCTAACGGCAAAAAAATGCTACATAAATAAATTTTATGTTATGCTGGTTGTTTCTAATAATTGATGTACTGATCCAACTAGCTATCTAAGTGACTGAATCGATGAAAACATCAATCAAGTAATTTATTGAGCACCAAGCACATGAATAAAAAATCTTCCACTCTGTTATTGGCTTTCATTGATTGTTAAGTTTTGCAGGTTAAGGGAAAAGATGTGAAAGCAAAATAATCACTTAGGAAACAATTTATGGCCCCAATTTTAATCTGCCACAAGGAGGTATTTTCCAGAGGTTCTGACAATGAAACAAGAAAAACAAACCCCTCCACAGCTCTAGAATTAATTCTGACATACAGTAACCCTATAGGACAGAGGAGAACACATGTGCTTTCCAATACCATAATTTTTTACAGAATCAAAATTTTCCCCACATGGAAGCTGAGGCTTTGAACCAGACTGTTCAGTTAGTGGCACATTTACCACTGTGCCACCAGGGTTCCCTCAATTACGAAAATGTTGCTATTTTTGTTAAGTGCTGTTGATCGATTCCAACCCATAGCGACCCTCTATAGGTTTTCTGAGGATCAGCTGGTGAGCTTGAACCTCCCACCTTGCAGTTCAAATGACTTTGCTGTCTGTCGCATTAACCCACAGCGCCATACTAGGATTTTAATTACGACAGTGGTGGTGGTGGTGGTGGTGGTAGTGGTGGTAATGTGCCGTGGAGTCGATTCAGACTCATAGCGACCCTGAGTAGGGTTGCCGAGGCTGTAAATCTTTATGGGAACAGCTGGTAGTTTCGAACTGCTGACCTTGCAGTTAGAAGCTCAACTCGTAACCACTACGCTACCAGAGCTCCTAATTGCGACAACAGAGCTATAAAAATACATCACTGGCCAGGTTGAAATTTGTACCAACACTTTCTGCTCTGCCTGTTTAAATACACTGAAAGTACATATAACATAGGGAGTTTCAGCATGTAACAGAAGACTAAACAAAAGAAGTATTCATTTAGTTGTGGGTATCGTAACTCAACATTCCAGTTAACAAAGCAGAAATATGTGAACTAAGTAAAAATGAATTTACAGAGATACCTGGTGAGATGCTTTCATGTTATTAATACTGTGTCATTTATCAGCATCAATGATTCAAAGATGGATCATATAAAAACTCAGAAAAACACATTTATGGCATTTATAAATTTCAACCTGGCCAATGTGCACCATACATACATAGTTTTTTGTTTGTTTTATTTCAAAATTGACATCCATAGTGTTCTTAACAATAAAATTTAAGGTTTGATTCCACAAAAAAGAATCAACTTAGGTAGTAAATAACCGAGTTCACTACAGACAGTGTGGCTGTAAACCCTACATTTTGAATTGAACTAAGCTACCATCTGGGGGCTTTCTTTTCTTTTATAAAGATGAAAGTTTTTGACTGATTTATTATGCCGAATCAGAGATAGTTCCTTTCAGTGTAAGTTAAGCCTCAATGACAGATTCTTACAAAGTCAGGGCACTGATAGTGCACTGTGTGGGTGACCCAGTATTGACAGCTATCAACCTACTGACTGTCAGAGATGAGCTCACTGACGTCACTGCCATCACCTTAATGCTAATTCCACACACACACACCCCCACACACACACCCACCTACTACATACACATTCCTCCCAGAGCAGATGGCTCTCCCAGGCTGAAGAAAAACAAACGCTTGCTTAGAAATGATGGAGTCAACTAGTATCTTATAAAAATCCATTAAAATCTCAATAGACACATAATCCAAGAACCATGCCTTTTGGAATCATGCCTATGAAGTAAGGGATTTTGGTAAAATAGAAAAATAATACAAGAAAACACAATTAAAACAATATTTTGTTTCTGTTTTCAGGAATTAAAAGAAGTTTACCCTGAAGAAATAGTTCATCTTTTAAAAAGTAGAAATAAAACTATTATTAGCTTATAGATGACTGATTGATCATAATGAAACATGTTTAAACAAATGCATTCTCCTTAGCCTCTATAATAAGGTACAAATAAGTAATTATTTTAAAAGTTTAACCTGAAGATCAAATACAAAAATGAGGTACCAGCATGGAGAATTGTCTAAAATGATCATTTCCTACTTCCAGATAATAAGGGTTTATAATTTATAATAAGGGTTACTGAACAGCTCTCCACATGGATAGGTGGATTTTAGCTCCTAAATCTATAAACTGACACACCCAAAACATGAAGTATGGACACTATTCATAATAAGTTTAGTCATACTTACCTTAGTATATTTGGAGGAAAAAAATCCAGACACTGTGAACAGCTATTGTGGGTTAGTGTGGTAGTAAACGCGTTATGAAGAGAGGGAATACTAACACAACATGACCAATTTGAAGAATTAATTCTACGTTAGTATCCTCAGCAAAGACTAATAACATTTGTTTGTTTTCTTATTATCCTACTCCATTTCATTGGCTACAATAAAAATTTGCAAAATAAAGCCCCTTGAAATATTTCACAAAACATTATTTCATGGTAACTTTGCAAATATTATGTTCAAGAAGTCAGTAAACAAATACAAGATCTCATGTAACTCAAAAGAACTACTTCTAAAACTAAGCCATAGAAATATACTTGTCAGTAAACAGCTTTCTGCAAACTATCAACAAGTTTTTCACCTAAATACACTTTTTTTTCTATATGTAGAGATATTTTTCTCTACTTTGAAGGTTTTGTGCCAAAATATTGGAAAACATGCAGAAGAAAGGAGTTGGGGTCAGACTAAAGAGAAAATTTCTCATTCTTCATGGATGAATATTTACCTTTAAGTACTACACAAAAAAACAGATCCAATAATATCAAAACACAAACCAAAAAGGCACATTAGTTTACCTGATATTCATTGGGCCAAAAGGTGCTCACTGCTAGCTCAGCCCGGAGCCAATCTCTACCCGTAAAACCAGTCACATTCCAAATTGGATTGGCCAGAGGTCCTTTGTTCACCCTAACTAAGATGTTCAAAGTGCCAGGATTCAGCCCTTTCTGGCTATATAGCAGGTAACTGAAATCAATGCAGTGAGTGTCATTCTCCTTCATTGTAGGCAGCTGAAGTCTGGCTTTTTCTCCAGGATCATGATCTGAAGAATCCACTATCATATAGGAACCTGAAATGACATAATATAATATAAAGCAAAATAGAAATATAAACAAAAGGGAATATATATAATAAAATATATAACAATTATAAAATAATAAAAATGATATCAATGCATTATAAAGACCAGAGCTATAGATCTTTCAATTAAATGTTTGAAATGAACACTTAACTAAGTAGCAGTTATTATTCAAAGTGTAAAACATGTATTCACTCATTTAGTTTCCACAGTAATCTATTAATTCCCTTTTTTTTACAAGTTAGGAAGTTGGGGTACAGGAATATTAATGATGTATCCAAAGTCAAAAACAAAATAAGCAGATCTTCTTTCAAATGCATGGCCCGTTCTAAAGCTGTGTGGTCTTATTAAACATAAGCATTTAGATCTGAAACAAACAATTAAAAACAATTTCTTATAGAAAAAGTGCATTGTTCCTTATCTTATCCAGGATACAGAAGGGAAGTGGGTTTAAAAGGGAAAAAAGCAAACAGATGCTAGAATTGCTTCTGATTTTAAATACTGAGGACATCATTTATACAACCTATGAGTCCTATGACTCAGTTTTCTCATTTTCTTTAAAACAGAATAAAATACTTATCTTTTCATTGTTAATATGAGGACTGAGATCATAGTATTAATCTGTAAATTTTCTAGCTAGCACATAGTAGATTCACTCACCGGAGCTGTATGTATCAGCACACTAAGCTGCCAGCTAAGTGTCTTTGTTATTGCCCCAATTTTACAATAATCCTTACAACTCTACTAGGGATCCCAGAAACCAGGCTTGAAAACCAGAAATCTACTCAACCACACTCTTTAATTTAATAAATCTTCCTAGATTATCTTCCATGGGGAGATGAGTACATGATGAGTCCCACTATCTTAGTCCTCACTTCAAATATTATATTCAAGAAGTCAGTAAACCAATTCCAGATTTCATTCAATTCAAAAGAACTACTTCTTCTAGAACAGAGCCATAAAAATATACTTGTCAATAAACAGCTTTCTGCAAAATATCAACAAGTTTTTCATCTAAACTTACTTTTTTTTTTTCTATGTGTAGAGATACTTAACAAAAGTCATGTAATGATGAAATAATGAATTTCAGGGTGCGCTCCAGAATAATCATCAGTTTTTTTTCTGGTTACCATGGATTTTAACAAAGTCACATTCCAGAAAAATGTTAATATGCCTACTATTTTTCATACTAAAAGTAAAATTCAAGTGTTACTAATATGAAGTTTTCTTTGTATATAATTTTAAATAAAATGTCTTAGATATAATACTACAGAGTAAGCACTAATATATTTTACTGTCATGCAATCTCTCTTCGTCAACTTGTAAAGTTAATCAGATATGGGTATTACCATTGACTGCTAAAAACAGTCATGGAAAACTAGTCATATTAGTTCAATTAACCCCCAAAACAGGCTAAAATCTTGAGAGATCGAGTGACTTCAACTACATAAGAAACCAAACTTCAAATCAGACCAGCTCCCATTGATTCATACCAGTACCCTCTGATTCAGAGTTTTAATGATATTTTAAATAGGTGATTTTGAGTAGGTTTTCATTCATAACTACCCTATATAGGGATTCTAAGGATATAACTATTACCGGGAGCAGAAATTCTCATCTTTCTCCCAAGGAGTGGCTGGTGGATTTGAACTACTGATCTCGTGGTTAACAGTCCAGCGCTTGTCCTACAGCACCACCAGTGTCCTTCCTCTAGTGACAGTTACTCATATTGTCAATCATTTTTCCCAGTTCTCATCTTCTACTGTTAACTGGAATTCTTTTATTTATTACTTGACTTTCACATATTCTATTTAAAAAGAATAAATTGTCCATGAAGAGTTTTGTTGTTGTTGTTGTTTAATTGCAACCCATTTTCTGTCCTTAGATATACTCATATACTGAAGTTCCTAGGGTGAGATTTTTTAAATCACATTCACTCTTCCAGAGTGAAAATTATTGCTTTCAACTATGCCCAGACCAGAGATCAAGGATAAGTTTCTGGACCTCAGATTCTTCACAACATTGTTACACATTTTCCTACTGTTTGTGTGATATTGTAGGGTTAGCACTGGAATGTGAACCACAAGGTCAGTGGTTTAAACGCACCGGCCACTCCTCACAAACCCAGTACAGGGTCACTTTGAGTCGATGGCATCGGATTTGACTCGATGGCACTTAACAACACAACATAGTAGTTGTTGTTTTTTTAGTTTGCGTATTCATTGAACTATTATGGCAGTAGTGCATGTGACTTGCTTTTATAAGCCTCCACCAATTTTGGCTTCTGGATGTCCATTTTAAAGCAGTGATCTATAAATGACTTACTAGCTTTCAAATAGTTATTTTCTTCCATTAAATATATACTATGCATCATTGTTAATTACATAGTATGATATTTACCATTAAGACTATTTAGCAATTTTCAGCAAGTTTCACTTTAAAGCTACAATCATTTTCTTCTTAAAAAATGGGGAGCTAAGTATATTAATTTGTAGAAAATACCAGGTGGGTCTTTAGACAAAAGTCATAAAATAAAAGCTTGTCCAAACAATGTCAACATATCCTGAGCACGCAATGCAAGTTAAATAATAAAGACAGTGCTGATAATTCATTTATATAGAGCATATCTGATGAAGTAGGCAGTTGCTACATTTTCTGATTGCTTATGGAATAATGTGCAGGTACTATACAAATCCAGAGTAAAAAAGAAGCAAGCACTAGTACCAAAAGCCATCTCAATCCTGCTGCCTACTGGCTTGACATAGTGACACTTTACCCAGCAGGCACCACAGACATGGTAGCTGCCTATCTGGCCGAGATTCCGCCTCTGTCATCCTAAACACAGAGAACACTATGCTATTCTTAACAGTATCTAAAAATTACTTCTGAAGTTTTCCAGAATAACTGACTCCTATATCTTAAATGCCAGGAAATTCCCTAATAAATACTTCCCTTATTCTTTATGTTATAATTTAAGATTACTTACCATTGTTCTAGCTCCAGCTAAAGAATCCCTCAGATTTCTAATAAGAATTTAACACTATTCAGTAGTGGTTGGCCATCTCTTCTTAAGATTTAACAGTGAAATATGTGTGGTCTTACAATATTCTTTACAGTCACAAGGGATGGAGTACCCAAATACACACACACACACACACACACACACACACACACACACACTTTTCTGGAGAGTACTTTGGCAATAAGACAAAAAAAACCTTAAAGGAACACATATGCTCTGCTCTAGCAATTCTAAATCAAGGAATGGATCACATACAAACATGGAGAAAAATGGAAATATTTTAACTATCCAATAGTAGATATATTTCAAATTTATGGCAGATTAATTTAATAAAACTAACATGTAGCTAATAGTTATATTAAATGGTATTATGAAAAACATTAAATGAAAGATAGTCATAATTTGCTAAATAATATAAGAAAGCTGTAAAATAGTCCATTTATGAAAGAGATACATTTCTGTTACATAAATATAAATACAAAATGATACCTGTTCAAATTTGTATGTATGTATTCATATATAAACCCAAATACACATATGACTTGGGGAGAAATCAAGCAAAATTATTGTTTGTGGAGGAACTGCAATAGTCTTATATTTCTAATTTTTTATCACTTACATTACTTAAGTAATCAGCAATGAACATGCACTAGATTTGTACCTTTCATAAAAAGAGAAACTACATGAAGAATATCAAGTGAATAATGACACTTAGAAAATAAACATATGCTTCATAACTTTTAATATAAATCTGATTTTGTTGTTGTTGTTGTTAAGTGCCATTGAGTCAATTTCGACCCATAGCCACCCTGTATAGGGTTTCTAAGAAGCAACTGGTGAGCTTGAACCACTGACTTTGCAGTTCAAACAACTTTGCAGTCTGATGCGTTAGCCCACAGCGCCACACCAGTACTCCATAAATCCTATTTACATCCTACAAAATAATAAAATCTTAGCATTCAAAAATGCACAATATGAAAATTAGTTATGTCTTGTTTCAATTCATTAGATTAGAGAGGGAACCAGAGGATACTTAAACTAAAACCAACGTTGAAACACTTAAAAAAAAAAAAAAATCAAATTCAATATTCATAAAAATCATAGTTTAATAAATAGAGGAATAACAAAAGCCCTAGGGATTATTTTACATCTTAATGGGAATTTTTAATCTATAAACCATAGTTCTAAGAATATAATAATCACATATGAAATAGGATTAACCACAAAGTAAATAATGATGATAAATGGGTTTCTATACTGCATTCTGAAACTCCTTTATATATAGCCTATAGTATTTTGAAAGTGAATTCTTAATCAAAATTCATTGACTGTGTATTATAAACTCAAATAATCAGAATTCAACCTTCTCTGCTTACTATGCACAATCATTTCATGATTTTAACACCAGGTACTTGTCACTTTATCGCAGACTGTTTCTCTTCACAAACCATCTTCCCCAACCAGACATTTTATCTATGCCAGTTTTCTTCTCTAGAAGCAGCTCACTCCTTAACAAGTATACTTCAAGCTCCAAGACCTATCCAGGTCTTACCCATTGTTCTTCCCTGCCCATGTTGCTATCCCTTGCTTGAAGTTTATGCATTTCTGATTCTGGATCTGAATTATACACAGTTTTTGTAAAAAGTCGATGATTTCTATGAGAAACCTTTATCTCATAAGAGTAACATATCCTCTTAGAAAGCAACTAATTCACCTAGCATCAAAACAAAACAAAACAGAAGTAAGTCAGTATGTTTAACAAGGAAAGTATAAACAGTCCACGGTTGTCACAAATCGTTACGTACTCGACAGAAGTGCCTCAGAATACAAGCCTGGAAATCTGCTTGTGAAAGATCACAGCCCTGAAAATCCATGGAAATGAATAAGAAAGAGACAAAAAGGCTAGTTCTTACATTGTACTGACTCAAAAACACTAATAACAATAGCAACAAGCTTAAGGGAAGAAACA